AATTTCAAACAGATGAGAATTTGCTACCTTTTTATAATATCAAGAAATGGATAGATATTCTAGTCTTCTCGGATAAGGACGAATAAACCGTAGGCCCCGTCTCCAGCAGGGTTAGGGGTAGGAGACGTTAATTTCCCACGCGCGAGATTACTGTGTGATGGATGTCCTCCTCTGGGATGGGATGGGATGGGTGGGTATTATTGTTTCACAAGGCCCCATTTAAACTAGCTATTTCTTAAACTGGGCTACCCTGTATAAATATTAATATTCGTAAATACAATACATACATTGATATCGAGAAATTAAATTTAAACTCTAGTTATGTGGTCGAACAAGAATCTAGAAACGATAGACTAAAAATAATCTTTCAGTTGGCTGTTTCCACTCCTTCACTTTGTCTCAGAAAGAATTCATTTTTATGAAAGAGGAAGAAGATTTTCATGTAGAGGAACTGAAAATGCCAAATCAAAGATATATCGAAATACTCAGTGGCCAAATAAAATGACAAATAAATTAATTGATCCAGGGAAAAGCTTGTTCTTGTGGGACTACAAAGACCTATGATACAAGGTGTTAACAACGCACCAGCAAAAATTCGGAGACGTAAAGAAATTTAATAAACTTGAACATGCATGCATCTAGTTGCCAGTGATTTCTAGAATGAAGGTTACAGACATAATACATTAAGAGCGTAACAACTAATTACAACAATGAAATAAATAGGAAACACGGATAATACAGGATGAAATATGAAACAAGCGAAGATAGGAGACATTACCTAACGATTTGGGAATACTGAGTAAAGAACTAACGTTGCTCGACTTTGAACAAGCGAAGTCTTTGCAATTTTTTATAACCAGCGCGAATGTGGTTAGTTTCTACAAAAGGATTTGAAGCCAGAATTGATGATGATGATGATGATGAACTTTATTCATGTGTCACTTATAAAATAGCAGTAATAAAACCACTAAGTAAGGACACAACAAGATAATTTAAATAAAATAATAAATAACTAAGTATTACTAGACGATTAAATAGCATGAAATATACGAATAAATAGCACAAAATTTGTGGTCAGCAGAATTAAGCT